TCAGGTAAGGTCCCAGCAAAAAAAAAAAAAAAGTCCAAACATTCTGAAAAAAAATTATGTTATGCAGAAAAATAAACTGAACAACTTTTGCCTCAGGGTCACATCGAAATTCTTCACCAAATTTAAAATGAAAAATAAAATTCAAAAATATTTCATTTATTTTTATTTTTTTTAATTATTTTGGTCCGGCCGGGCAAGTGACCCCGGGCCACTCTGTTTTTTTTTGTTTTTTTTTTGGAAACACACTTTCCCACGAGTGCTAGTGATGCGGATAAAAACAGACACCACTAGCACCTAACAAGCCTGCGCAGTCAATCCCGTGGAGTCCAGGGTAATCAATGCTGGCAGGAATCTCATACAATTCTGTTCTGATGTACCTCAACTGGTCTGTATATGGGACGCTGGACCCGTTTTCCAGCAGGTGAAACAACCACTACCTAAAAATGGGCAATGCAAAATCACCCCCTACCTAAAAAATGGGCAATGCAAAATCAACCCCTACCTAAAAAATGGGCAATGCAAAATCAACCCCTAAATACCTTTCTCGGCCTTTTGGGTAAGATCAAGTCTAGTATCTGTTCTGATCAGTTTAATATCTGATCCGTGGTTGGAATTCGAATTAAAAAATCAAAAGAAGTACTAAGCCTTTCTAGAACGCGGATTGCTCGACACCCCACGAAACTTCACGGTGTCACAAACAGGCGGACAGAGCATGGTGTCGCAAACAGGCAGACACAGCACGTTGTCACAAACAGGCGGAAGTTTATGATATCGATATCAATCTCCAGCCACGGACTGCATATGTGTCACGAAAGGCCAGACGTGATTGAAAACGCCAGCAAGTCGTTGTGAAACGTCTCTAGTGGGTCCCCACCCCTGGCAAGGGAATGCTCTACACTACTGGGCCAAGGTCCCACTAGCAAAAAGGATAGGATCGAGGTCTCCTGAATCCGGATGTGTTTTGAGCAGAGATGCAGAAAAGCAGTTCAATCTCGATTTCCTGCACATCTCCATAAACTCGTCCAGATTCAGGCATTCGATCCGATTCTCTTTGCTAGTGGGACCACACCCCTGGGGAAAGTTGTTTGGAGATGATCGGACAACAGTGTTCTCCCGAATACAATGCACGGTCATTATAGCTGTATTTGAGGCATCTTTCAGTCTAGATACAGCTGTAATGACGCACGGTCATTATAGCTGTATGTGACGCATTTTTCAGTCGAGATACAGCTGTAATGACCGTACGTTGTATTCGGGGGAAGACTAGCATCACAAATGTAAAAAAATTGGCTTTCCCGGGGACCACCGGAGGCCGACGATAGCCCGGAAGAAGCGGAGCGGAGGTCGGCGGCTTCTTCTGGTCGGCGGCAATTCAAGCGGAGGTCATCCAAAGAAGGAGGGGAAAAAAAAGAAAAAAAGAAGGCGAACTTTGACGATTTCTCACGCTCAGAGGAATAAACCAAACAATCTGAAAACTTGAGATCAGGTGGATCTGGTCGTGATCTTTTCGGGAAAATTATTAGAAACAAATAACAAAATAATTTCGACGGTGAAATACTCGCCGCGCCAAAGCGGTGCATTTTCCTTTCTTGCCACTCTGTGGCCTTTCGTGATTTGGTCGTTAACTTTTCAGGAAGAATATTACCCCCCCCCAAAAAAAAACACGTTTAGGCGGTGAAATAATTGGCACGCCGAGTGCGCACAAATTCCATTTTCGGCACAAATTCCATTTTTGCCACTCTACCGGAAGCCCTCGTGAACTTGAGAAGCCCTCGCACGAATTCCATTTCTGCCACTCTACCAGAAGCCGTCATGAACTCTGTGCTACCGCGACAAGGTCCCACTTGCACGGATTAAGAGATAATGGCCGTTGACCTTTGCGATCTACGGTCAATATCGCTTATTTCGTGTAAGTGGGACCTAGCCCCCGGTCCCCGGAGTTTTTTAGTGGCAGGGGTAGTGGTGGTTTCAACCGATTGCTCACCCCCAACACACCCCCAATGGAAGGGAGAAAGGGGATTTGAACCCAGTCTATCGCTGTCGGCCCCTGCAAAATTGCCGAAGCAAAATTTGTATATATATATATATATTTTTGGGCAAAATTTGTACTTTGCGAAGCCTCTGCTACAGTAATGTGCACAAAAGAGAAATCAGAAATCCTGCGGTAAAAAAAAAAAGTAAAATAAAAAAATCCTGCGGTAAGGGGGTACTTCCCCCCTTGTGTCTTTTGGACCTGATGTCCAAAAAACAGCCCAAGAACTTCATTATTACATTTTTTTGTGTAGGTTTTTTTTTTTTTTTTTTTTGGGCATTTTTATTTTTTTCTTTTTCCTTTTCAGCTTTTCAAGAGTAGAGGACATTGGGGGCCATGTTCCCACTAGCAGCGTTGAGCTACTACCTCAACGCTGAGCATTCAATCACATGCGACAGGGCGCGACCTCGAAGATGCTAGATGGCCCTGTGAATCCAGAGGTGGATTCGAGGAAATAAAATTTAATTTCCTTTTCTTGTTTTTATTTTTTTATTTTTTTATATTATTATTCGAAACCAGAGTAGAATGCCTTTCTCTCAATTAGAATGCCCCCTACCTGAGCGCCCTTCTGTTGAGCTAGCACTCGTTTTTTTCTCTTGGTAGCCAGCTCAACGACCATTTCTCAGGGAACGACAAACTTTTATTGACATAATGAGTCTGGCTTCTGACGTATCATAGTACCGTACCGTCCGAAGCCCGATTCTGCAAAGGGAGTAATGAGGCGGTTGCCCAGCCAGCAGGTAGTACTTTCACACGAGTCGTTGAATTTGGTTGTGTTTAAGGGATAGGTGCATTCAAGAGGAAGTTCTTTTCAACAGCCAACAGGTAGTACTTTCACATGAGTTGTTGAATTTGGCCGCGTTTAAGGGATAGGTGCATTCAAGAGGAAGTTCTTTTCAAGGTCCAGTCGTCCAGCCAACAGGTGGTGCTTTCACACGAGTTGTTGATTTTGGCCGCGTTTAAGGGATAGGTGCATTCAAGAGGAAGGTAGGGGGAGGCGCAAGTGACTGGCCAAAGATGCTCGGCACTAGCATTGCCGGTTTCCCCCGTCCGCAATGCCTGATCACCCTGCATCATGGTGATGAGGGGCTGATACAAGCCTTGCTCTCGCACCACTGCTGTGGTGCAAACCTACCCCGTGGGCAGATGAGATAGAATATATGCAAGGGAAGATTGAGAGAAGGATATACGAATAGACTGGAGCATTTGTAAAAAAAAAAAAGAAAAAAAAAAAAAAAGAAGAAGAATATAGATTATGTTTTTTGTTTTAATTAAAAAAAAAAAGCTTTCTTCATTTCTAATGAATTAAAAAATGCTTGAAAAGCTGTCACACGGTTGAGCTAGCTCAACTCAACGGTGCAAGTGGGACTTGGCCCCGGGGGCGCACCGTTTTGAAATGGCAGATGCGTAGTTACCATTGGTCGGAAAAGAGGTCACATACATCCAGGGTAGTCCCAGTGGGAGTATGCCCGCAATTGGTGCACCGTGAACTGCTGATCCTCAGAGGCCAAGTCCCACTAGCAGCATTGAGTTTTCCTCGACTCCTGAATCTGGACGGGTTTGTGGAGATGTGCGGTTGAGGAAACTCAACGCCATTTTCGCACATCTCCACAAACACTACCAGATGCAGGTGTTGACGCTCAACGCTGCTAGTGGAACTTGGCCCCAGGGCCTGGCTCGTGTACTCAGCAGATGCACAAAACACAAAAACATTATGGCAGTGTATCTTCCCACGTTGGTGTGGAAGGTTCATTCTCGTTTTGCTCATTCGTTGAGCAAGAGACTCGCTCCCCCACAACACCAAATCAGCAAAATCACAATGGCGCATCCCTGGATCCACCAATTTTTGAAATAAAACAAAAGAGTTTTAGGGTTTGAGTATTAGATAGGGTTTGAGTAATTTCAGTGGTTTGAGTAAACTTGAGTAATCTTTGATTGGTTTTGACCTTGGGAATTCGGATAGGACAGGTTTGACCTCTATAGGGTGATAGTTCACTTCCTTGTGCTTAGGCTTTTGTTCCTTTTAGCAACTTGGGACCTGATATTACTGGGGGGGCTGGGGTCTCGGTAGCTAGATGGCTGTGGTTGGGGATGGGGTTGGTCGGAAGTGCCTTTCTTAGCCCATGATGGCTGCAGCATCTATGTGAGGGACGCCGGGCCCGTTTCCCGGTTCTCAATGAAGTTGCATTTGTTAAAAAAAAAAAGAAAAAAAAAAGGGGCTCAAATGATTATTCTCCACTGCAGTATTTTCAAACTTCTGTAGTGCTCTCCACACTTCTCACGGCATGAGGGCAGGGACTTATCCAGCAGCCTACAGTCTTCCCCCGAATACAACGTACGGTCATTATAGCTGAATTTAGACTGAAAGATACACCAGATTCAGCTATCATGATGGTCCTTTGTTGTATTCAGGGGAAGACTGTAGCTCAGTTGGTAAGGCACACATTGTCAACTGGCATTCAGGAGGTCTTGGGTTCAATCCCCATCGGCCTCATGTACATTCCTGGGCATGCTTGGCGCCCGCCACCTAGGGCATGGTCCCACTATAGAAGCAACCCGATAGGAGAGAAAAGAGTTTGTGTGGCAGTTGAGTTACCCAAATCCTGCCGTGCAGTACTTGTGATCCCACGGTCAGCATTTTCCATGTATTAGGGTCTCGTTAGACACTCCTAAAAATGCCTGTTTTTAGGATTGCGTCGTCGTTGCACACAGTCCTAAAACGAAATCGGAGATCGAAAATGTGAAAACGGTGTTAGGACGAGTCCTAAAAGATTTAGGATTCCCCAGGCAAAATTGTCCTAAATTTTACAGTAGCCCCCAACCTACTGAAAAATTTACGATTCCCGCGTTTCACGGAGTCGTTGCGTCGTGCGCATGGCACCGTCGACACTCGTTGGTGGTCCAGAAGCGGTCCGTCGAGTCGGTGGTCGGACATCGGAGGTTTTCTGCGGCTCGACGCGGGCAACGGCCACACATGGTAGCCGTTGGCTGAGGGGGTGGAGCGCGGAGGGCTGAGCGTCGGCGGGTGGTTGCCCGTACTGGACCGTTCGGTCGCTTGCGAGATGCGGAGTCGGACGTCGACGTGCGCAGGACAACAGACGGAGCCGCTTCGGGCAGTGCGCACCTCAACGGTCGAATTTCAAAAGGAAGGCGGGCGTGTTCGTCGTCTTCTGTGGTGGTTGTCCGCATATGAAGGTCGAGTGCCCCTGTCGCGGGCATGTCGGAACACACATCTGCAGTGGTCACGTGCAAGGGCGGTTGCAGAGGTGAATTTCATGGCTGACGTGCGGAGGAGATTGCCTCTGCTGGTACTCGCTGTCGTCGTCTCCCTGATTGTCGTCTTCCTCAACGTGTGTTTTTCGTGGCGGCCGTGGAAACAACAACGCAAGAGGAGGGCTTCGACGAGACGGGCGGCAGGCGAACGTCTAATGGCGGGCATGCAGGCACGACAGGCTGCTGCCGCAAGTCAGGGAGGAGTTCGATCTTCTGCGGCGGAGCCTCGAAGGCGGTACGACCCATCCATGTACACCCATCTGGAGTTGTGGAACACGTCATTGCCCCCGTCGGACGAGGAGCCGGAGAAGGAAGAACTTTCGACGTTGCCTCTTGCTAGCATCTCGACTCAGTTGTGGTCGCAGACGGTGCGAGCAGGCGGGTCGGCTCCCGACGGAGGGGGCGAGTTCACGTCATTGCTCCATCAAGGCTTGCGGGACGACGGCGGCGGAGGAGTTGATCTGAGGTTTGTGTCGTGTTCTGGCGGCGGAAGGGAGGCGAGTCGCACGTTCATCATCGACGGAGATCGTTCGGCACGTGGCGTTGAGCATGGTGGAAGTCTGCATACGGAGCAGTCCACACTTTGTCGCGATGCACCCGTGACTTGCGCGGTCGGGCCATCGCCAGCGGAATGGCAACATGGATAGACTGCTCCGTCCGTCGATCGATCGGGCAGTTCACGTTCGCTGATGCCTGCGTGCACAACACTGGTCGAATCCGGAGTGAGGGACGAGGGAACGTGCAGAGCGCCGGTACGTCCACGATCCACTGTGGAGAACATAACACGTGGAGTGTCGAACATGCGGGCACACAGCGATGCAGGCGAAAACGACGTTGGCTTCGGTGACGACGCAGACGAAGGGATGAGGGAAGACGTGGAAGCGGGGGATGACGACGACGACGTTCCAATTCGGCCTTTGGGGAAGACGGCTAGGAGGGGGAAAGGACGTGGCAGAGGTGGTGTCCGTGGTCGATCCGTTGGCCGTGGAGGCAGAGGCGGCGTAACTGACGACGCCGGGAAGTCTCCGACGTACTGGTCTGCAGAAGACCAAATGCTCCTGGTGCGATGCAAGCGGGAGCAAGATATGCACCTCGCCGGCTTGTCTCACAATTACGGGCGGATGAAGACGAAAGAGTGGAAGTGGGAGGACATGTCGAAGCGGATGGCGAATGCGGGGAGGCCGAAGACGCCGACAACTGCATGAAGAAGTGGGACAATCTGTTCCAGAACTACAAGAAAATTCAGAGGTTTCAGAATGCCAGCGGGCGGCCAAATTTTTTCAGGCTGACGAACGAAGAGAGGAAGGAGCACAACTTCAAGTTCTGGATGGACAGGGCACTGTACAACGAGATCCACGCAGGCATGGTGGGGAACCACACGATTTTCCCTCCCAACGTTGCCGACACCGGCAGTCTGGATGGGGTGCAGCTGCCCAGGCGAGGAGCGGGTGGCGGGGAGTCTGTTTGTAGTGAGGCGGCCGGTGAAGGCTGCCCTGACGAGCGTTCTTCTGCGAGGGAGTCTGACAACAACGCAGGCAGCGGGGCGGGAGGCGGGAAGCGGAGGAACGCGCGTCAGCAGGCATTCGAGTCCATCTCTGATGTCATGGAACGCCATGGCGCACTGATGTCGTCGACGATCGAATCGTCTAGCAAGCGGCAATGCAGCATCTCCACGAGGCAATGCGACATATTGGAGCAGGAAGTTGCCGTCCAAAACGCGCACTATGCGTCGTCCGATGAGACGCAGAGGATGATGTGCCAAGCACTGTTCGAGATCGCTGCCGCCATCCGTGGTCGGTCGGCCATGTAGGCCATTACGTGCTGTGTTGATCAAAGTTTGTTCTTTGCCGTCATCATCGAGTTCTTTTTTTTTTTCCGGTTGTGAATTGCATGATGTCGCCATTGGCGATGCTCGTGGACGGCTGTTGCGGAAGCAATGCCAAGTACTAAACGGACAATCGGGGGCG